GCTGCGCTCCGCGCAGCATACGATTTACTCGACTTACGCATGGAGTAAACTAAAACAGTATAGAGCACTCGGCGATAAATTTCGTTTTCAACGAATTACCCCCTTGAACTCTAATGTACTATTCCCAAAAGCAAGCGAAAGTTCCGAAAAAATCCATAAATTGTTTACATAATCTAATGGATTTTTCATGTTTAATGTTCTCCTTCGTATACCATTTTTCCATTAATCTCTATTTGACCCCCTCCCCCATATAATGCGTATAATATAATAGATAAGAATATCTGTTACATCCATGATCAATGTTTAAACTTTAAATCATTCAAACNCTCTCCCCTCCTAATTGAGATTAAGGGATGAAAAAACGACAGTTCGACAGAGAATTAAATTCCCCATCAATTAACCCTCTTTCAGCCCTTCNGGTATTTTGATCATTTTTATAAGACTGGTTATTTCCCCTCGCAAAACCTGTGATCTCTGCTGCCTCCACGAACCTGACACCCTAACCCATTTCCTCCTGCGGTGTCCCACCACTCAACTTCCTCGCATTGATTTTCTNGTAATGAAAAATTCACCTCTCCTCTCCTAATTGAGATTAAGAAATGAAAAAGGTCAATTCGACGGAGAATTAAATTCCCCATCAATTAACCCTCTTTCATCCCTTAATCTCTGTAACAAAAAAAAAACTATCATTAAAGGCAGGGGGCAGTAAGAAAAATAATTTTTTCGCGGCGCACACTAATTCTCCATCAAACTGCCGTTTTTTCATCCCTTAATTTCAATTAGGAGGGGAGAAGTGAATTTTAATTCGCGGGCGAATGGTGAATAGTCAGTGTGCACCGCGAAAAAATTATTCTTCTTACTGGCCCCTGACTTTAATGGCAGTTTTTATTTTTTTGTTACAGAGATTAAGGGATGAAGCGGAGGTTGATGGATGGGGAATTTAATTCTCCATCGAACAGTATTGGGGTCATTTCCTAATATTAATTAGGAGGGGGGAGACGATTTTTTGATTAGCTGGCGAGTTATCCATCAAGTTTTTCATAGCACTGCGACTTTCGTCGCAGTTTTTATTTTTTGATTAGAGATTAAGGGATGAAACGGNGTCCATTTTGAAAGGCAGTTAGTCGTCCTTGAAAACCCCTCTTTTGAGTGCAAATCATACTTTTTAATTNTGCAGAAAAAATGATGAAAATGCAACTCATTTTTCAATAAAATGGTCAATGTTAAATTTATCACCCTCTCCACGGGAAAAACGACATAAGAATTTCCGACAACTTATGCAGCCCAGANACCATTGGGTTTCTCATAGCGCCGCGACCTTCGGCGCAGTTTTTATTTTTTGATTACAAAGATCAAGGGATGAAACGGGGGTTGATAGATGGGGAATCTAATTCTCCATCGAAAAGTCTTTGTCTCATCCCTTAATATTAATTAGCGGGCGAATGAACCAACGGAAAAACATAAAGTAAACATTGAGGACAAGGACATAAACCCCCCTTCGAACCTACCCCTGTGATTAGTGTGCTGTTCACCAACGCTGAGACATAACAGGGAGTCATCGGAGAATTCGCATGTGGCACACTAATTTTTACGGGAATCCCCCGAAAAAGTGGCCGGAGTCCCACCAAAAATTAGGGTGCCACTTATGAATTTTTCGATGACCCCATGTTATGTCCCGGCGTTGGGGGGACAGCACACTAATTTTTGGGAGATTTTTTTCTCAATGTAGGGCTTCTAGCACAAGTTTTCCCTGCCCAGGGTACCCCTACTCTACGTAATTCCCACTCATATGCTTGTCCCCCACTCCAAAAATCCATGGATATTCTTCTTCTGGCCCTACTGCCGAGTTACCGGCACAGGCAGCTCGCCCAGCCGTCAGATCGAGCGTGGCGCCCCACCTCTGTTGGGGTCTCACTTATTCTGGCTGCGATTGCTGTCGACTTGACCGACTCCGTTGGGATGTCGACACTGCCGCCATCTCCCGGCATTCCCCCTACAGGACTTGTATTATCATTATATACACTCACATTAATTTTAATCAATTGATAGAAAACAATGTTATAAACAGTGCAAATATAAACTAATAATTCGTCTATCCACTTTTATTGTGTTTTCAGATATCATTTCCCCCTTTTTAGCCCCAGAAAATCGCAATCCTAATAGCCACGCAACAGCCACGCAAATACCGTGGCTGTAACCAAAGAGGATAGACCTGAGTAGAGGCCCGGATCGGGGGTTTGACTGACTCCAAAAATGTTAGTTGGTACCCCACGGGAAAGGCGGCGTCTCGGTCGAATTGTCGGTAAATGTGCATCGGGTGCGTAACTCGGCAGTAGCAGTCCCGCTGTGACAGTGACAGGTTCGGAGGGGGATTTGTGTCCTCCTTGTACTCAATGTTTACGTTATGTTTTTCAGTTGATTTATTCGCCGACTAATTAATATTAAGAGATGAAACAAAGACTGTTCAATGGAGAATTAAATTCCCCATCCATCAACCCCCGTTTCATCCTTTAATCTCTGCAATAAAAAAATTAATATTGCGACGAAAGTCGCGGCGCTATGAAAAATTCAATGGTTTCTCGGCGCAGAGCGCTTCCCCATTAATTCGCCCGCTAATTAAAAAATCGTCTCTCCCCTCCTAATTAACATTAAGGAATGAAACCAA